TTACATCAAGTACAAGAGAGCAAATTAAAGCAGAACTACTTCATTTACAAAACACACAAACGCCATCTGATCCACAAACAAACTAGCTCCATTTTCCAACGCCCCATTATGCTTTGTGTGAATTAACAAGTTATGCTGTAATCAAAGAGCAAAGTGTTTTAAAGGCTGGAATTAAATAGAAATATTACAATATACATTAATATTTTACTTCAAATGGTGTTCAAAAGAACTTATGGCATAACTGTTTTGAGCATAATGTGCATTAAACCAATCAGAGTCTCATCTTCCTTTCCCTTTTAAGAGTCAGGTGAGTCGCGCCATGTAGCATTTGCTATTTATATGGCAATCTTTGTAAGTGGAAAAACTGAACGCTTCACTAGCGAGAAAACACTTAAACAGAGCATCTGCAGTACAAGGATAAAGAACCAGCCTCCTCATTTGGTCTCTTAACTTTCTCTTTACCTAATTTTTACTCTTTACTCCTTTACTCTTATGGATAAGGAAACGTCTCCAAAACCCAACAGGTGGACAAATCTGAACTTGTTTTCATTAAAACAAATATAAAATGCATTTAATAAATAATACTGCTAATAATAATATTAACATTATGCAAATGCAGACTGTCATGAACAAACTGAAAAAGCCCCCAGGACATGAAGCAGTGGATGCAGTGGTTTTTATATTGATGTAGAAAATAATATATATATATATATATATATATATATATATATATATATATATATATATTTTTTATCCGCATAGGCTAGGCGCATAACTAACACACTCTGGACTTTAGACCAGCTTTTAGTTGGTCAATGGCGCGGTCTCTTTCAGTTACTCAAAATAGCAATGTGCCAACATTGTGCATTAACACATCTCCTTTTCACGTAAAGTTGTCAAGACAAAAACAGGTTATGATATGTTTGCTTATGTCATAAATACCTCTCAAACAATGTCATTCTTATATGTAAAATGACATAACGGAACGAGTGACACATAAAATGTCATGTCATGATTATAAAGGTTTCATGACAGTCTTGTAAACACCCCCTTTAAGTAATGTGTAACTGGATTACTTTCAGAAGATCTTGAACAACCCTAAAAACGCAAAACAGCAGAATTGCAGATATATATTGAATATTACTATACTATACAAGAAAAAAAAAACACATTCAAAAGAGCTTTAACCACAGATTTAATGTACCTGTGACACTACTGTCACATTAAAACACCAAGAGTAAGGCTGCTTGCATGATGGATATAAATAAAGCAGGCAGATGCACTTCTTTTTTAGTTTTCACTGTGGGGTATTTGTTGGACAACCATATTATTTAAAATGATTTGCTTTAGTCCCTTTAAATGGTAGTTACAACAACCCTCTTATAGAAACACACAAGCCTACAAGATGCAAACGGACACACAAAACCCTTCTACTATGGACAATTTAAAACCATTTGTAAAAAATGTCCTAAGATTTAGCAGAAATTACACAAATCTACCATAAATAAATAGCTGCAAAAATAATAAGGCTTAATAAACGTAAGAAAAATTGGGGTTAGTATTTAATTTAATTTAATTTAATTTAATTTAATTTAATTTAATTTAATTTAATTTAATTTAATTTAATTTAATTTTATTTTATTTTATTTTATTTTATTTTATTTTATTTTATTTTATTTACATCTTTTGTAAAGCTGCTTTGGAATCATATTTATTGTGAAAAGCGCTATATAAATAAATTCAAATATATGTCTGTATTCCCCACCCTTTGGGGAAAAATATGTCCTAACAATTTAGCAAAAATGACAAAAAACTGCCATAAATATTTAGACACAAAAAAACTTTTTAAAAAAATCAAACATTACAATAATTTGGGGACAGTATTTATTTTTGATAAAAAAATAATAATAAATAAAATAAAATAAAACAAAAAAAATTAAATTAAATTCATTCAAATTAAAAATGAAATAAAATAAAAGTAAATTAAATTTATAAAAAAAAATATAACTCACAAATTTTGTAAAGCTGCTTTGGAGCCTTAATTATTGTGAAAAGTGCTATATAAATACATTTAAATTTGTTTGTTTTCACAGCTATCTAGCAGGGATGAACTCAATTCATCAAATGTGACATTTTTACCAGATCATGATAACTGAAGCAATGTTGCTGAAATCCAGCTCTAAATGACAAGAATAAATTTGATTTAAAATACAATCATACGGAAAACAGTTATTTGTTTTTTTATATATTGCATATTATTGCATAGTGCTTTATATCAAATAAAAGCAGCTTTGAAAAAAGGAAAAATATTAACACGTCTTAATTAACATTAAAAACTGCAAATTGCAATGTAAAAAAATTAAACAGATAATAAACTACTTATTACAATCACTGACCTTTGCATTATAAAAAATCATTGTTTAAAAATTACTACTACATATAAAACATAAGCCTTCATTAAAATGACTTCATTTTAGAACATTTTGCCACATTTTTGTCTTTTCAGTGCTTTTCAGAGCTTTTTCAGTGCTTGAGCACATTCCAGAGCATCCAAACAGCGGTTTGGTGAAACCCAAAGGTCATCGGTAAGCGTAAGAAAGGTGTGTGTTGAGTTTTGTGTGTATAAATGAAGCACAGTACATACTGTAAGACAGAGGAATGTCCAGATCGCCCTGCCACGACAGCTGCCCGAGATCATCCACAGAGTGCTGCGCTGGAAGAACAAAACACACACACATTACACTCACCTCACATCTAACTTTACAACTCTGCCAAAATTCTGAAACATTCATGATCATTTTTATTTCTTTCACTTTATGTGCCCAAAAATGTCCCTCTCAATTTGATGACATCTACACTACCTGACAAAAGTCTTGTCGTCGATCCCGATTGTAAGAAAAACAAATAATAACTTGACTTCTAGTTGATCATTTAGAAAAGTGGATGGCAACACAGACATGAACATTATTGAGCATGTCTGGGGTAAGATGAAGGAGGAGGCATTGAAGATGAATCCAAAGAATCTTGATGAACTCTGGGAGTCCTGCAAGAACGCTTTCTTTGCCATTCCAGATGACTTTATTAATAAGTTATTAGAGTCATTGCAGAGATGTGTGGATGCAGTCCTCCAAGCTCATGATGGAGTCATACACAATATTCATTCTGTCTCCACTGCAGCATGGTTTTATATTCTATAGTGGACATTATGTCTGTTAAGTGACAATACTTTTATGGAAGAAGAGTCAGACCTTAATGTCCTAGTTAAATAATTTAAAAAACAATGCATGATCATATTTGATTGTGGTCAAATAAGTGTAATCTAGAGGCTTTAGCCTTACATATAAGCCACTTCTGATACCAAATGATCAACTAGAAGTCAAGTTATTGTTGTTCCTAAAACTTGGATAGGCGACAAGACTTTTGTCAGGCAGTGCACTGTATACTCTTACTAGTGTTTACTCGCATGAGGGCGACATCAACATGTCAATCATAAGAGATTCATCAATAGCAAACCTCTACCGTCCAATCAATGCCTTATAACCAAAATTAAGCCTCGCCCACATTTGTTCTTGCATTCTGTTTCAGTCACATGATCATAATAGGGAATAAAAGATAATACCAAGATCAGTTTGAATTAATTTGGTAAATTTATCTTGATTTAAGAACGAGTGGCCTTCCATCCCCCCAAAAAAGTATAATTAAATAAAGATAATATTTTATAATATTAAAAATCTCATAATGTTGACTTAAATGTTCAGAGACTGTGATATTTTCTCTGTTTGTCAGACATTAGATACTATATAGATAGACAAGATATTAGGGTCTTCTGAAAAACAAAATGTGAAAATTAAGTAAGTTTACACGAAAACAAAACATTCAAATGTTTTTTTTTCTGCTTATTTTGCATTATTTTAAGCACTAAAATTTGTATACAAAATTTTATATAAAAAAAATATAATTAAATGTTCATATAAATATAAGTGGTATTTTGAAAAGTGTTGAAAACTAACATTTAAAATAAGCTAAACATTAATATGAAAAATGAAAGCTTCTTTGCTCTGTTAATCCTGGAGCTTTTTGGAGGTGGTCTGTGGTTTGTCTGTGACCATTCACCTTTGTCTTTCAGATATTTTTCTTGGCCTACCACATCTTTCCTTCACAAAAACTGTTCATGTGGCCTTCCATTCACTTACTATATTTCTGACTGTGGAAACTTTAAACCTTTAGGATAACTTTTTGTATCCTTCTCCTAATTCGTGTTGATGAATTATCATAGCTTTTAGGTCATTAGGATGCAGTTTTAAGGTTTCCTTGTTGCTACTTTCTGGTTTACAATTAGGAGAAGCACAACTAGCAATGTGTTAGGATTGTTCGGGTTCACCGAGCCACTCAAATCAATTCTGTGCTGTAATAAATTAGCATTGAGTGACAACAGGTTTTAAAAAACACACAAAAGAGAGGGTGCCCAAATTGTTGCATAGCCTAATTTTCATTTCCTAATTTTAATTAATTTCAACACTGTTACACTAAGGATTTCTGTCTGAAAAACATGACATTATCTAGCACGAGAAACCAAATGGCATATCACTGTGATCTTCTCTTATAATGAAAGAGCACAAAGGAGTGCCCAAACTCTTGCATAAAACTGTATTTATATACTTCTATAATGCAAAATAATCTGTCATTTTAAACTAATTTTTCGTTTTATCTTATTAATTTTATCATTAACTTACTTTTATTGATGTATTAGACACTTTATCAGTGACATACAATTAATGACTACACAAAGGTGACACATTTTCAGCATGAGTAAATCTAAATGCACAAAACACAATTGAAAGACTAATAAAGAGTGAATGAGTGATTTAATGTAGGCTGTCAGTCAGTTAAAGTCAGTGGAGAGTTTGAGGAGCAGATAGAAAAAACTCCAGAGAGAATCTCCAAAGCAATTCAATCAGGTGGAATTAAACAGGACGGAGATTAAGGCCAATTTGCATGAACCGCAGGGCTTCAGGGCGCAGTCGAATAAGCAAAAAATACTTAAGCAACTTATTAAAGTCTTTCACCTTGAGGAAGCGCAGCGCGTGGGGCTTTAACTTCATCCTCTTTCACAGGCACATCTGAATCACACGCTGACAATCAGTTCAGTACTGATGATTCAACACACTGACATTCACAGGAAATCGACGGGCTCATTGTGAGTTAGAATAAAGATGCCAATCATTCCATAAATGATGTCACAGACGGAAGCAGTGATGTCACGAAGATTCCTCAGATAGTCATTAATAGACCCTTTTCACAAGACTTATGATGCATTTAACAGTCATCAGCATCTTAAATCTTTGAAAGGTTTTAACATGTTGATAAAAAAACAACGCATGAACATTTATATGTACATATATATATATATATATATATATATATATATATATATATATATATATATGTGTTATGTAATCTTTGCATAAAATTACAAAAGATTAATTACGGCTTGTGTGAGGCATTTTTAATGCAGTGTCTATGGGGGGAGGACCGTAAATTTAGCATTATTCACTTTTCTGGCTGCCGTTATCAGTCTTACACATTTTTTTTCCCTTGATAACACCATCATGGAGTTTTTCTTGTATAATGTTAGCAAATATAATTGTAAAATTGTAAAACAAACAAAAAAAAAAAAGATGTTTTGTACTCGCCCATTCACTGCGCGCTGAGTTTGCCCAACTATGACGACTTCCGCTGCTGAAAAACCAGAAATGTGAAAAGGGTCCACTGGAATTTTAATAATTAATTAAACTTTTACGATATCTACAACCACATTATGACCAATATGTTTTTTGTAATGCATTATATGCTCTAAAAAAAGCTTGGTTGACACAACCCAAAATTTAGTTTGAAGATTGGAATAAGCTAAATAACTCCAACGAGGAGAATGAGCGACTACTTTTGTGGACTAGATGACCAAAACTTAAGGTTTATTTATATTTTTGCTTCTTAGTTTTTGTTGACTTATATTATATAATTTGCTATGCTTGTTGAATGAGTTTGCTAATGTCCTCATTTGTTTTCGACTTGAATTGGTTAATGCAAAAGTAGACATATCAAGCTTTATATAGATACCATAAATCATCATCTTTGTTGACTATTTGCCGAGTTTCCTTTCATTTTAGTGACGTGTTTTTCTGACCACAGTCTGCTCGCGTCTTTAGACGCTTGTAATAACAAAGCCTCGTGGGCGTGGTCACATTAAAACTAATGAGATCAGACTGAAAAACTAGACACAGCGTTGATTTCATACCGATTACTTTATCAAGCAATGTTTGTTTTCAACATGCATAGCTGCCTTTAAAAGTAGACACTTTAAGCTTTCTAGAAATACATGTCTCATCTGTGTGCGTTTTGTATTCGCGGAGTTTCAGCACATTTTACTGACGCGTTTCTAAAAGCAGTTCACGGAGAGAGAAAAGACAAAATGCCTACCCTGTTTGTTTTCCTTATTTTTCAAAAGCACACACGTTTGTTGTTGTTGTGAGTGTACACAACACAAAGTAGACACATAACAGATTCGATTGATGTATTGATCTTATCTGTACGATCAAAACTGAAAGTGTAATTTAAGTTCATTTCAGCAGTTTGACGACACCACAGGTCAAAACGCGTATACGCGGTCTTCGACCCCAGAGGGTTAAATCAATTTGTAAACTTTATAACACTTGTTCCTCTTTTAATCTCTCCTTTCACTAGCCTTTGAAACATAAAGAGGTGGCTCATCCGGGAACTGAACAAACCAAAAGTTGGGTTACTTTTTTTCAATGGGTTTATCCCTATTTGACCCAACGATGGGTTATGACTAGGGCTGGGCGATAAAATCGATAACTGTATTTATTAACTGAACACCACTGTGCGCCTTGAAAGCAATGCCAACAAGCTTAGGGTGTCAGTTTGTCATTTCCAATCGAGCCACATGACTTGCACGACGTACACATGGTGTGCAAGCGGTGCACACATGTGCCACGTGCATTTTCCAGGTACACCTAGTTGAAAAACATCTGAACTTTCCAGCGTGCGTGCGCACCACGGTTTATGTAAATGGAACTAACTAATTGGCTTCACACTTTGTATGGACTATACACATTTCAAGGCAAGGCAAAGTGCTTTACATAAACAGGAATAAAAGAGACAAGTATGAGAAATATAAAAAGAAATAATAAAAACTAAACAGATAAAAATGTGTTAGAACAGGTTATAAAAAATGAAAAAGAAAAGAAAAACATAAGTGTGCGATCTGTCGTCAAAGCACAGTGCTCATTCAGTAAAGGGACAGGTGTGTTTTCAGTCTCGGTTTGAATGTGCCTAATGTTGGAGCACATCTGATCATTTCTGGAAGCTGATTTCAACGGTAGACTAATTACCTCAGACAAACACAGAGCACCTAAACATTGCAGTGCTTTTACTTTTCTCCACAAACTTGTATCATAGCTGCAGCAATGATTCGTTCATTTGTCATCCTTTGAGAAAATGGTTGATGGTTGCCTAGTTACGAGAGATGCCAAAGGAGCGAACTTGTCACTTCAGGTCAGAATAACAACACATGCAAAAAACTAGAGCCGTATAGCAGCAGTGAGGGAATAAAAAAAAAGGATGTAAGGATGTCTCCAGAGTGGCTTTTTGGTTTCTTTTCTTGTGCATCACATCCACTAGTTCCCCATCTGAAAG